CACGTTTAGCTCGACTACGACGGGATTTGCATTGTCGACGGAGGCGATGCTCACAGAATCCTACTTCCAGACTCGCCGCTACGATTTAGCGGCATGATTTTAGTATCGCCTAAAACCGTAGCGTTGTGCATCTCCCTACTGATCTCTGTTTACCATAAGACACAGATGGTGCATAGAACAAGGTTGATTAATAATACATATAAATGAAAAAAAAATGAAAGTCAGTTGTAATTGTCAATAATTTTTAATGTTGCTTATAAACGCGTCATAAATATAATAAATATAAATAAATACGATATATAAATAAATTAATTAATGTCTCCGCTATAAATAGTATCATTAATAAATATCCTATACGAACTACGATCACTTGCCACTTGTTTGCGTCAAATTAATTCGAGCACACGTGGCTGTTTCTATCACATAAGACGCAGACGCCTCCTTCGTTCTACGAAATACGAAATTAATTACAATAAACGTTAGGAGCTTCGTCCTTTTTTTTTACATTTCCCTCGAGCAGCCTCGCCGGAATAATTTGCGTCACTAGGTGCGCGTAAAAGAAATTTAATAAATATCTAGTCCGAGACTTCTCAAAATAAATAATAAATATTACCCGTTAAGCCCCATTACTCATAGTTCCGTCATCTGCCGCCAAAGACTCTCGAACTCTCCAGGAAATAAGTTAAATAAATAATTTAGATAACCAGGTTGAGGTTAACCACGCTTAAACCAACGTGGTATTCCCCGTCTCGTAGCTTCCATTGTCCCCCTACTATTGAATGACTATATCGCTCATCTGCGTGACTGTCACTCATTTTCGCAAGTCATTAAAATTTTGCAACAGTGCGCTAATCCTAACCCACGTATTCCCACACAACTGAACTGCAGTTGCATCCGCGATCTTTAAACAACTAGAAATAATAATACTTATTAACGCAACGCGCACGTCGATAATCCAATAGAAAATAGTATCAAACAAATTTCTTTGGTCCATTCGATAAATACTACCTACGACATCCATAAAAAAAATTCATCCCTAGTCGATCCAACTTTTTTTCACCCTAATGGAAATTCAATTAATTAATAATTGAACACGTGTCTCCATGCGTGCAGGTAATTTCTGTACTTGAGAACCACACCCCAGTCCCTTATCCACCGTCTGGTATCATCGACAGGATTACGTTGTCTCTCGTTCATGATGCTCCTCTCGATCCTACGTGGTACCCGAAGCGGTGGTAGGACCTCAAGATTGCTCTCAACCTCGCACAGCATCATCAGCAAGTAATTCTGAGTCGCACTGAGCGCCTCCTGGATCTTTGGGTTTGTCTCGTCCTCGATCAGTTCCTCGAAAGCCACAGCGAATTTCTGCAGATCCGAATGCAGCTTCGGCAGATAACTGACGATCTGTAAATAAAAATAGAACAAGGGAATAAATATGAATTCAGAATATAAATTTTTAGGAGGATTTTCATTGTAATTTTATTGCGCAAGGACTGTATCGAATGTAAATATAAAACGGAGTGCGATTACGCAGACGCAGGACACGGGTAGTATGAATCCGTACACGGGGAACACGATGCGAACGACCACCTCGCTTCTGCTCGCCTGATACTTTATAATAATTACCGTCTCATTAAAATTTGTTGTTTAACCTTAATCAAACACGTATATCATTGGTCGAGACAAGGGATCGTAAAGGCTAACCATTACGGAAACACTAATTTTTTTTTAAATTCAATTTGCTATCTCGTACGTGATAACGTAAAGGATTTTTTTTCCAACCGATGAATATTAATTACCATGATAAATTAACTCGCGAAATTAATATGATAATATTTGATATCCTTTATACGACTATACAATATTTTATTATAGGACAAAATAAACCGGTGCGATTCATCTTGTATCAGATACTTATTCATCTATCAGATAAAAGATGCTTACCATTCGCGGAGACGCTTTTACCAGCCTCTTGACTAATTTCACGTCAGCGTCACCCGGTACCCAATTGGGGATGTACTGATGCTGATGAACACCGATTCTCACTTTCTCGTAAAGATACTCGTAGTCGCGATTGAGATAGTCGCTCATAGATAATTGATGCTGTAGACTCAAACTGTCCAGGGTTATTTTGAATTGTTCCTCGAGATTTTCGATAGGTGTGTTATCAGACTCCAAAATATCGCCGCATGGCAGATGCCACGATGGTACAGTAGATTTCGTGTATCTAGGTGCAGCGGATACGGCTGACAGGACGTGGAGTAGCGCAATACCGGCGACGGTCTTGATGAACATTTTTCAGTTTGATAATTAGTAATTGATATATGAAAAATTAATTAATATCGAGTTAATTGAATTTTTCGTTATTAACGAAGGACACTTTACTGTGCTCGTCAATTGGACGTGTCTTGGGAACTGAGATTGTCAAACCCTCGTGCTTCCTTCTTATATATCCAATAGTGTAAACAAACGCGTACATACGTTACGCGTCTTCGTAAAGACGACGGCAAAGATTTTGACCTCGTACGTTACGCGTGGAGTAACACGCGTGTCCATACTCCCGACGAATACGTAAATAATCTCATTGATGCGGTTTCGCAAATTTATGGAAAGTCCGTAACAACGATTATGACTAAACAAGAAATTTTGAGGTAATATAAGCTATATATATTTATTTATATATACCGAATGTAAACTCGTGTCTTGGAACATCCTACAGAAAGGTACCCACTTACAGGTGGTTACTAGGAAGAATGACAACTTTTTAAATTTTCAATTTTTTTTTTCAATTTCTAATGAAAAATTTCAACGATGACGTTATAACGTCTGCTATGACACTACGTCAAAATACCAGCCCACTTCTGCGAATCTTGGGAAGTACCTGTCATCGAGTTATCGCAACTTGCAATACCGTCGGAGGTGCATGGGCTTTTGAGAAATATCGTATTTAAGATAAACGTGCAATGGAGGTCATCTTGTTTGTTTTATGAATCAAGTGGGAAAGCCGTATGATAATCTTTGATATTATACCCACCAAAATATCACATTAGACATGGTAGATGTAAATATCAGAGATAGTATAAATACAGAGCTAGCATATCCCTATTTGAAATCATAAATTGGCAGTCCTGTTATCGCTGTTAAAAAAAAAAATAAAATTCAAAAAAGACGCTCCCACTATAAAACATTGAATAGTAGCAGTGCGTGGACGATAATCTCCGCGAATTGCCATGACGTCACGAGGACAATATCTTTCAGACTTCGAGGAGACGCAGTCTGGTAAAAACTCTTGAATGAAGCGTACGTAATAGCGTGGATTAAACATTGATAGTAAATGACGTTCAAGTACGGGGTTACGTTGGGTCTAGAGGAAGAGATACCAAATAAGGAGATACTATAATTAGCCAGAGGATTCCCCGAGCTGGAAATGCTTTATAAAGCACGTAAACACAATAATCAATTTTTCTTATTATTATGTCTCACTCGAGTCTACATTGACTTCGTAACCGAATTAGAACAGAGAGGAACTTTTTCCTGATTATCCCCCCGGTAACGTCGAATTCTCGTCCTGCCGTATGATCGTGAGAATAAAATTGATCTGATAAGCGAAGTGGCTTGCACCAACAGCTTGCACTCCTGATAATGCACATGCAATTTTGCGAGACTTCCGCGCTCGACGTAGTGGAACAAGATTTTATTGAAATTTCAATTATTTCAAAATTCTTATAACAGACTGCTAATTAATCTTTACAGCGATTCTGTCGATTATAATTTTTTTTAAATTAATTTTTTATTCTATCGCATAGTGCGCTAGTGGGGGGTTTTGCAATCGATACAGAAACGGTCCGTGCGCATGCGCCGTGTACCAACCGTGTGACGAAATAAAATGAATTAACGTTCCTCGACTTATGTCCTCCTGATATGCACAATTAAATGCCGCTACTTGCGCCACGTGATTTTCGGACTTTCCCACGGCTCTTATAGATATCGTTCAGTGGGATTCACTATGAAATTTGTTGGATTAATAAATAACGTAGGGATAAAGCGTGTAATACGGTTCAATACAAAATATAAGTTTTATTCGAGACGATTACACAAGAAAGAGGAATGACAATAAATAATACATGCGATGGTAACGTGATAATAATAAATAGGTCATAATATTACGTAATTATGTGTTTCTGTGTCTATCAATTTCTTTTTTCGCATCTACCTCGGCTCTACCTGTACGTTCATAAGTATGTGTATGCCCAATAAATATATATATATAATATATGTATAATCGATAAAATATATTGAATCCTTAAAGGAGCCATAGTACGTGCGTACAGACATACTTTACACGTATGTATAATACGAAGTACAAAAATAAGTCTAGAGTTAAAATATAATGCGTGTATTTATAGTTATATCGAAAAAAAAAATCGATGGTCATTCTTAATGGTCATTTACAAGGGTACGTCATACTAATTTTTCTTTTCATTTCGTACTTTTCCTTTATTTCAATAAAATAATAAGATTCTCGTCAGCGTAGAATTTTGCGTGAAACAAAACGATCGTTCCTTTACGAAGAATTATCAAAAATACGTGTTATCAGTGGGACGAGTGTAGAGATACAAAATTACGCGATAATCGATAAGAGGAATAAATAGGAGGTTTTAAAGAAAAAAGGATAAAATACAAAATGAACGTTAATGTCATGTCAGCAAAGAGTACGCGAGATTCGAATATGATTGTCAAAGAAAAAGTCGCGACTAAAAGATACGCTAGTATCTTTAAAGGCGCATACTCATTTTAACGTACCCTATGCTTAAAGTATACAGTAGTATATGTATATATATATATAAATTGAAGAAAACATAAAACGTAGGAACTCTGTACGTCCGCGTACGTTCGAGATATCACAGCTAACAACTTTAAGCATTTCGCTTTCGCACTGTTAAAGCTACAATAAATAAATCATTCATTCGAGTCGCTTATAGCAATACTGAAAAATCATTAGTTTCAGTATGCGTTCTAGAGAGATATGATCGTTAAGTTTACATTAAAAAAGAAATTTTTCTTTAACTTCCTTGATTCTTATTTTTCATTGCACATTCTTTTCTTTTTCGACACTCAGTCGACTTTTTGACGTTCGAGTGCGATGTGTCCAATGCTTTTACGTATTAAGTAATCTATTACATATATGTAAATTGTTATAGTTAGGTACATTGCATCGTGTGTATACTCCTTTAGTTGGAAAATCTTTCGTTTGATATGAGATAACGAAGACTATGGTCGTACAGTAAGTAAATGATCCGTATTAAGTCATTATTATTAATCAAGGTAATACTGCTCATTAGCTCTGAAGTAGATCTCTTAATACTGGTCTCTAGTCTAGTATTCATATTATATCGATACGTATAGCTGAGCTTAAGGCACGATCACTCATCGAACGCAGATGATCTAGATGTATGGTCATAGATCAGAAGAGGAGCGATCGAACGTGTCAAATTGTAGGACTAATTATGAATGGCGCTGTAGTCCCGGATGTCCTTAACCAAGAAGACCACGAACATCACGTTCGAAAAATACAGATTCAAAAATGTAGAATCTCAAAATACTGATTGAGATTTTTAAAAAATTTGATGCTATGGTATCTCCTTTTTTATAACTACCATATTTTCTTCAATTAGACGCTCGACTCGAGTCAGTTGGCAAGACTGCTAGGTACTAAAAATCTAGGGATGAACGTGACGCAATGGAATAAATAAAGGGGCGAGTGTTAGTGAATATATGCTCTAAAAATGAAAGTCCCACCTACTGTAAGGTAGTCCCGATCAAAGAGGATGGTTGATCGACTAAAATATAGTATGAGTTATAATCGATCGATAATCTTCGAAATTGATTCGAGTGTCATAAGGGATCAATGATCGGTTCAGGCAATTTTTTACTAAGTTTGGTTCACCCTGTCTATAATAAGGGTACGTCGATTTTCGAGATCCTCTCGATTCACGTAAGTTTCTCCAACCCCGATGAAACCCGAGGTGGAGTTTACGCGATTGGATCGAGATGATCGATGATCTATAAATCTATAAAGATCTAAGGCATATTCCTCGCTCGATTTTTCTTTATCTTTTTTCTTATGCCCTCCCCTCTACCCGAACCACCCTTGCCGAGTCCTCCTAGTCTTTTACCCGCGAACGGACGCTTCCTACCCTTAGGTATCCTCCTCCCCTTAGCCGGTCCTCTTCTTGGGTTTTTGGGCCTGCCGTTTATGGGTTTCAGCTTTTTCGGGTCGCAGGTACCAGGACCGGTAGCGGTGGCGTCCCTGAAGGCGCGTGTCCAATCAGTCAGGAATGCTTGATAAAGTCTGATGACACCCCAGTCCTGAATCAATAAGGTCGTGTCGTCGCCCTCCCTGGCCCAACTAGGATTCTCCGTAACCACGCTGGATTTGTGTTGCGACGGAAGCTGCAGTCCAAGATTGAGAATGGCGGACTCGACCTCGCAGAGCATCTGTAAGAATGAATTAAGGTCAATGCTGACATACGTTCAAGAATGTAGAAAAATTGTTCCCATTAAAAATTCAACTATGCCTCATCGAATAGCTCACCCTGAGAACCTCGTTACACATCCCGTCGATGATCTTGTTCCTTCTGCTCATAATGAGTTCGGTATTGACATTCGACTTCAGATTGAAGGACTTCAGATGATAAAACGTAATAGCGAATCTCTGCAAGGCGTCGTGAAGCTTCGGCAATGCCAGTTCAGCCTTTTTACCTTTTTCTAAGCACCAGATCTCCTTGTGGTACCATTTGAATTGTTCCTTGGGCAACCAGCTCATCATGTACTGTTTCTTAAGTTCCTTGTACACCTGAAAAAGAAGACGAAGACTTTTTTCAAACTGTCCAAAACAAATCCGTCCGCTTAAAGATGATCTGGTGGGATCTGCTCCGCGAGTTGCTGATCCCTCCCCCCCATCCCC